GCGATTGTTACTGGGTCAGGTTAATTACGCAATTAACCCTTCACACTGCCACCACCACCTTTTTACAGAGAAGGAGGAAACTCACTTACCAGTAACACTATGATATTAATATAAGCGTTTGTAACACACTGTCACCACAGACAGATATATTCAGAGGATTATTACATACAGTAGAACTCTTCAGAGACAGGGATTCTTTAGTTTGCATTAAAAGCTTTAGAGACAGTTCAACACTTTTCAGAAAATAGGATTTATTACTAAAAAGGTCAAAATGGTGCAATAAAATATTTACAGAAAAAGATGTAACAAATATATAAAAAGAGCAATAAAACAACAGAGAAATTAAAAAGAAGTTTCAGAAGGCAAAATACTTGCAAAAGTCCTTGGTTTGAGCAGAGTCCAATCGTCCGAACACAAGGTTGCCTTTGTTCTCAAGATGGTTCCTGATCGATGTTAAAAGGAGCGCTCTCTTTTCTCCAGGCTGTCTTTTCCTGTTATGTCAAAGTGGTGTCTCCTGAGAACAAATAGCCAATCACACCATTTGGGGATGGGTGTTAGGTGGTGGCCAAGGTTAGGACCAAATCCCTTCCAGGTTCATACTATGGTCAATAACCTTCAATAGCTACAAGTAGCATTCTAGCAACTAGCAGATTAATATTTAGAATTAGGTTCCGAACGCACAGATGCTAAACTTAGCATATCCTGCCACTCCGGATAAAAGAAATTACTTTCTACCCTCTTGTAGGCGCTACATAGGGATGTAAGGTGTCATGTGACTCATATTAAAATGACCTATCCGAATATATACTTCATATCAATGTGCCTAGTTCCTGCTGAAGTTTATGAATTTGTATGAAAAAAGACTCATGTGGAATGTACATTTTATGGGACACTCTAGTTCTAATGCTTTACAGGTCATGACCGACTGAGTTATTGTTTTACGACTGGGCAGAGGAAAGTGGTTTTCAAGCAGACCTTCTGGAACCAGGCTAATTAGTGGTTTACAGCCATGGAGCTCACCCAGCTGTGCGATATGCACTGTTGAACTCAGTTCACTTACAGACTCACATTCCATTCAAAAGGGAAGAGGGAGAATCAGTAGAGAGAAAATGGCTGAGACCTAACAAGATGGCTGTCAGTGTCTAGGTCTCTATGCGCACAATTGTCACACCGTCATTCTGCTGTTTTCAGAAAAAGCAATGAGGCCTTTAAAGAAAAGCATATAGTTCCTACAGTCAAACATGGTGGATGTTTACTGATGTTTTGGGGTAGCTTTGCTGCTTCAGGCACTGGATGTCTTGACCGTGTGCATGGCATTATGAAATCTGAAGACTACCAAAGAATTCTAGGTTGCAATATAGGGCCCAGTATCAGAAAGTCGGGTCTCCGTCAGAGGTTATGAGTCTTACAGCAGGACAATGACCCAAATCACACGTCAAAAAGCACCCAGAAATTGTTTAAGATAAAGCGCTGTAGAGTCCTGAACTGGCCAGCAATGAGTCCAGAACGCAATCCCATAGAGCATCTGTGGAGGGATCTCAAAACCGTAGTTGGGAAAAGGAAACCTTCCAATCTGAGAGACCTGGAGCAGTTGGTGAAAGAAGAGTGGTTCAAAATTCCAGTAGAGAGGTGTAAGAAACTCACTGATAGTTCCAGGAAGGGAATGATTTCAGTTATTTTTTCTAAGGGATGTGCTACCAAATATTAAATTGAGGGTGCCAAAAATTTTGTCCATTCCATTTTTGGCGTTTTGTGTGGAATGTGTCAGATTTGGCTTTTTGTTTCCTCACTTTTTTTCGTGTCGCACCATGATAATGCCTAAACAGTTGTAATTGCAGCAATTTTCTGGGTTGAAGTGGTGCATTATCTGACAGAAATGCAGGGGTGCCAATATTTTTGGCCATAACTGTACAACCACAATCCTCCTCTGTGTATCCAGAACTATGAATTCATGCTTAAAGCTCATGCTTTTGTACACCTCTTGTGTTACAGTGCCCCTATTCTGAATGAATGTGCACAGGGGGCACAGCAGACAGCGACATTGTTGGTCTGGGGGAGCAGTGTTAACCTCCTCGGCGGTATGATTCTTTCCGATTTTTTGTGCTGAAAGCGGTACCATTTTTTTGCATGGAAATATGTAGTTTTTTATTGTAGGCCTGTAATTTTTAGGAATAACTCACTGAAATCTATCCGAACAAGAGTCTAGTAAACATTCCGGATATGATAAAACTTGAAACGCGAAATCATAAATTATAATTTAATAAATAATCATAAAAAATAATAATATAATAATAAATTTAATTCAATAATATAATCAAACCAAAAATACTGAAATTTGAAATACAGAGGCAAATTCGCACATCGCTAAGCAAAGTTGCAAAATCGTTTTCAGTGTCTGATGACGAATTTCCCCACGAATCATTATCACTCAATTCTGCAAGTGGTTCTGATTTACTATCGCTGTTCTCTAGCTGGTCTAAAACCGATTTTGATCTAAAGGGACGCTTTTTGGACGCCATGGACTTTTCTAAGTTTCCAGGCAGAAAGAACAGTCAAAATGCAGGCAGGGCGCAGGACAAAGCAGTCGGGACAAAATGTATGTGAAATGCATTGAAACAGCAATGACAGCAAAAATGACATTTTTTTTAAATTTCAAACTTCCCGCCGGTTCCGGCGCCTGTACGTCCCGACGTCACAGAGACCGGAACACAGAAGTCGGATGGCCGGAGGAGATGGCCGGGGACGCTGCAGGGGACACATCGCGGGAGCGAAGGACAAGGTAAGTGCTGCAGGGACCCCCTGAGCAACGCCGCATGGTAAGCCCGAGTGTAGCTCGGGGTTACTGCTCTTGGTACTCAAATTTTACCCCGAGCTACACTCGGGATTACCGCTAAGGAGGTTAAACTCCAGCTCACACTTTCTGGTGCTCTCAGTTGCATGTTCGCCTCCTCCACATACAATGCAGCTTTAAAAGCAGTGCATTGGATGTGATGACACCAAGGGACCGCCCACTGCTCCAGGAAGAAGAGGCCAGCACTGATACTAGCGAGAGAGCCTCTTTCCATACCTCTAGAAATATCAAGCATTTGAACCATGGCATGCAGTTTGTTTTGTTTTTTTCTTTTATAGCAATCCAGGTGTTCTGCTTTGGGCCTCATGCATACTGGATGTTTTTACTGTTGCTCTTAGGGGAGTCTGGCATTTTTTTCTGCATGTTTGCCTATGTGTCCATGTACACATAGGCATTTAGAGGCAGAATAAAAACCCGTGTGAATGAGTCCTAAGTGTAAATCCTTCTGACAATATAGATTTAATAAAGTATTGTACAACATTAAACAGTTGTAGCTGCCAGAATTCAATTCTGATTTCAGAAAATGTCATCTCTTTGGGCCGCCTATGCGGCTTCACTGCCCCACAGAGTGCTACCAGCACAGATACCAGGCTCTCACTAACTATCGGAAACTGGGACTCCTGGTTCCTGGTCACTGGCTTGCTGTGCATAGCACAGCAATACAAAGCAACATACTTACATAGGAAAACACACACACACAGCCCTGTTTTACATAGTAAAACAGCACACAGTTAACCCTATGATCGCCCCTCATGTTAACCCCTTCCTGCCCAGTGTCTCTAGTACAGTGTCAATGCTTTTTATTAGCACTGATCACTGTATTAGTGTCACTGGGGATGTCAGTGGCAGTTAGTTCCCCTCCAGTGTCATTATGCCCGCCACAGTCCTACTATAAGTCGCTGATAGCCGCCAATACTAGTATAGAAAAAAAATTCCAGTATATATACGTGATTTTGTATTTTTGGGTAGGGGGCACATGCGAGCCTTACCCGCACCGCCATTCGCAGCCGTGGCTGTCAATCATCGGGTCCTGGCTGGTGATTATCGAGCATTTCTGACGGGGAGGAGGACTGGTTTGTTTACTAACAGTCCTCCTCCCTGTCGGCTTGGGCACACTGCTCTGGATGGCTGTGCACAGCACAGCCATTCAGAGCAGTGTGATTACAGTGAACAGCACACACCCCGCCCCTTACTAAAACACTCCCTGCACACAGTTAACCCTTTGATTGCCCCTCATGTTAACCCCTTCCTGCCCAGTGCTTTTTTTTTTTTTAGCTTTGATCACTGTATTGGTGTCACTGGGGATGTCAATGACACCAAGTCAGTTCCCTCTGTGTCAGAATGTCCGCCGCAGTCCCGCTATAAGTCGCTGATTGCCACCATTACTAGTAAAAGAAAAAAATTCCAGTATCTATACTGCCATTTGTAGACGCTATAACTTTCACGCAAACCAATTAATTTATTGAAATTATTCATGTATTGGGATTTTTTGTCTAAGCAAAGACATGTAGCAAAAAACATTTTGGCCTAAAATTCATGATGAAATTTGATTTTTTAATTTTTTTTTATTGCAAATGTTTTATAGTAAAAAGTAAAAAAATATATATAGATTCAAAATTGTTGGTCTTTTTTTGTTTTTTATAGCGCAAAAAATAAAAGACACAGAGGCAGTCAAATACCACGGAAAGAAAGCTCTATTTGTGGGAAAAAAGGACGTAAATTTAATTTGGGTGCAGCGTTGCATGACCGCGCAATTGTCAGAGGTAAAGCAGCGCCGTAAAGCAAAAAATGGCCTGGTCAGGAAGGGGGGTAAATCCTCTGGAGGGCAAGTGGTTAACGATGTGAACAAAATCAATCTTTTCAGCAGTGAGGGCCGTACAGAGGTCTCCTTTTATAGAACATATTCCAAGCAGTGAAAGGATTACACGTTTATTATGGAATGAAGAACTCTTTGCTAGAAAGGTTACACATTACAGCCAGCGTCACATTGCCCGGAATGGGAGTCAGAGAACGGGGCGGAGCTCCAACCCGCCAGCCCTCCACAGCACTTCCCACAAAGCATTGCCTTCGGACGCTCCAGCCTTCTCCTGCTCTCTATGGTGTGTGGCGGGCGGACTGCGAGAAGATCGAATGAGTGTTGCCAACCAACATGGCGGACCAGGGAGGTCAAGCATCTACAGAGAAGGTAAGAGAAGTTTCCGGGACTGTTGCGCCTGTGGTTTCTTTCTAAGGGATCTGCATAGCAAAATCTCCGGGAATGTATTGTTATGTATGTATTGTCCTTCCCTAGGCAACACAGAAAATGGGCAACACCCCCCCTTCACCATTAAGAAAGCGAGAGAGGTTGCATGGTGACAGTAGGGTGTACTGGGTGTGGCAATGGAGAAGGGGTGTATGCAGTGTATTATGGGGTATGATGGGTGTATGCAGTGTATTATGGGGGGTGCATGATGGGTGTATGCAGTGTATTATGGGGTATGATGGGTGTATGCAGTGTATTATGGGGGAGTATGCAGTGATTATGGGGTATGGGTGTAAGCAGGTAATAGTGATGGGTGGTGAGAGGTGCAGGAGGGTTGATGTGATTGGTGTATGCAGAGTATAGTAGGGTGAGATCTATGAGATGTGTTGGCAGGGTATGATGGGGAGTGTTGGGTGACGTCAGGTCTCTGCAGGGAGTGGATGGGTGTATGCAGGGTATGGTAGCAAGAAAATTCCCACCGACTCAGACTGAACCCCCCCAGAGTGATTTCCCCCCCCCCCCCCCCAAGACTGCCCACATATACACTGATCTCCCCCCCAACAGACTGTTCCCGTATACACTGATTATCCCCCCCCCCCCCCCAGCCTTCATATACACTGATCCCCTCCAAACACAGACTGCTCCCATGTGCACTGATTCCTCCACATGCTGACCCATATGCAATGATTTCTTCCCCCAGAGGTGTCACTAGGGTTGGTGTCACCCGGTCCTGGGCTCTGTGTTGGGAGATGGAAGGATGTCCTGTGCAGGGACCGGCCAGTGATGTGTGATGCAGAGGGTGGGGTCATTACTATTCATGGACTGACAGGTAGAGTAGGAGCCATCCAATGATAGGGCAGGTGCGGGCTCTGCTCCTGTGGACAGGCTGGGTGTGAATTGGCCTGCAGCAGCCACTGTGTTCCCGGGGATCGGACACCCCCCACACGGCTGTACCTGAGGCTGCAGGAGGGATGAAGAGTCCTGGTACCTGGGATAGAGGACAGGGGACACTCTGTTCAGATGGATGACAGCCACTGACAGCTCTTTACATTTTGGTGTCGCCCCCTGTGATGGTGACACCTGGTGTGGCCCGCACCCCCCTAGTGACGCCATTGACCCCCCCCCTCTTCCCCCACAGACAGCCCCCATATCCACTGATTCCCCCCAAACACAGACTGCCCCCCCCCATATCCACCAATTTCCTCCACAGACTGACCCTATATACAATGATCCCACACACACACACTCCTCATATACATTGATTCTCCCAGACTGATCCCTATGGTTCCTGGTACCTCCACTCCCGGCTGAACACCAACAATACAGAGAATATTGACAGTGATCATCATACATTTTCGGCCTCGTCTCTGTGTTTAACTTCTTCCCATCCTCACCTCACCTGCCAACCTCTCACTGCTCCAGCAGCCGCGCCATGTCCGCAGGACTGTACCCCGGATGTGCTTCTTCCTCATCTTCTCCTCAGTGGTGGCCGGTACACTGAGAAGGTTCACCCCACTGACACACTGAGCCCAACATGTCCGCCTCGTTGCCCGAGTGGTGTTCATGCAATGCCCCACCGTGTCTCTTCTTCCAGGGGGCTGCTCCACCCTAGGCAAACACCTTGTTTGCCTCACAGTAAGTACGTCCCTGGCTGTGGGTGCAGAGATGTATGGAACAAGCAGCCAGGATTGGGCTCTCAGCCCCCTTCCCTTGGAGATAACCGGACCATCCAATGTTCCCTTGTCCTGGTGTCCGGTTTGTGTCTTTCACATGACTGGACTAATCATTCCCAAACAGCTGAACTTAAAAGGTTGTTTAACCCTTTCACGCCTAAGGGTAAACCAAATCTTGATGCCTAAGCACAATTTTGCAACTTTGACTTGTGTTGCAAAACCATAGCTATCATCACAACTGTAGTAAACAAAAACAAAACTTTTTTTTAAATTTAGTTGTATATTTCTTGCTACTACCATAGCCAATCACAAAAGAACAACCTAAAATAATTTCTCCTGCTCCTGACAATTGTAGCGATACCATGTGTGTGTATGTTAGTTAGTTTGTACCCGTAGTACAGCCCAGAAACGAAAGTGCGTGTGGTGCTTTTTTTTTTTCTTTTTTTTTTTTTTTTATCCTGCCACTAACTGACACTAATTTAAAGATAAAAAAAATACTGACCTTGACCCAGACACTAACCCTAGCACTGACCTAGATCAAACCTTGATCTAGGTATTTATATTTATTTTATTATTTTTATTTATTTCTTTACAAACACTTTTTTCCTCTCTGAAAGGACAGAGAGAGATACAATGTATCTCTCTCCTCCATATCTGTATCTCTCTCCTCCAAGGGGGGCGGGCTTCCCAGTGACTGATCACTGCGATATTCAGTCAGAGACTTTCACAGCGATCATGTGACCCAGAATCAGAAGTTCCAGGTCCATGTAAACTATTTACTGACAGCCTTGAAAGTTATCGGCTCTATTTCCTCACACAGACACAGCATGTGAGGAAAAGATTGCGGATAACCAGCAAGTCTGTTTACAAGTGATCAGCTGTGATTGGACACAGCTGATCACATGGTGAATGGCCGCTGTAATTAGCCCTTTCCCCTTGATCAACTGTGTCCAAAGGATACAGCAGTCACAGAACGCACCCGATGAGTATCCAAGGGTGTCCTCCCAGAACTGGATGACCTTGTTGTAGCCTCCCTTTGGCTATAGAGCAGGTGACAAATGGTTAATATTAGCTTAAAGTGACACTAAATTCTGGTTTAAAAACATCTGTTTGTGAATGTATTCCTCTCAGCCTCCTTAAAATTCCTTTAACCACTTGAAGAATGCAGTATGTATATTTAAGTTGTGGCTTTCGAGAGGACTGGAAGCAATAGAAGGTTATACATACTAATTAACCCCACCCCCCTCACTGTAAGGGTTAATTGCTTGTATGTCTAGTGGATATTTTTTTTAATTGGGTGCTTCTCCTGCTATAAGCAGAGAAGTGGCTAATCAAGCATGATATGTGCTTGATTAACTGCAGTGCAGGAGAGACATTCGGGGTCTTATAGACCCCAGATGTCTTCATAAAGAGGACCCATGAGCTGCCCATGCTATTTCTTTGGGGACTTGTTAACCTACCTTGTGAAAGCAATAAACTTAAATGAAAGAAAAATAAATATAATAAAAGCAGCCCCCCACATACACGCAAATGCATATGTCGGTCCAAAACATGTGAGAGACTGCTGCAAGTGTGGGTTTTTTTTTTTTCTCTTTTCCTTTTACTGACTGTCTCTCCACTGGGGAGGTTCAACCCTTTATTTTTCCTGTGACCATCATCCACCAGAAATAACACATGGGCAAATGCAAAATTGTACAGTTGTCATCACAAGAGGTTAGGGTAAGGCTTCCAAAGGGGACACCTGTTTGGTGACCACTTTAGTTAATCTTTGTCATGTAAGAAGTAATTAAATTATTATGTTTTATTTTCTATGTAGTCATTCAAATTATTGTGGATCCTTGATGTGAAAAAGACACCATGTGCACGCGATTCGTTATTGTATGGTTCAGTTGGATCGTTGGTGGTTGGAGTTGGAAATTTTCTTGCAACAAGTAAGTGACAGTATTTCCTTTTATGTGTTGTTTGCCTTATAATTTAAAGCCGGGGTGTCAAACTGGCGGCCCTCCAGCTGTTGCGAAACTGCAAGTCCCATCATGCCTCTACCTTTTGGGAGTCATGCTTGTAACTGTCAGTCTTACAATGCCTCATGGGACTTGTAGTTTGGCAACAGCTGGAGGGCTGCCAGTTTGACACCTGTGATTTACAGGGTCTGTCCATCCAGAAATTACATTTTAGTTATAGGTTAAGACTCTGGATTCTTGTGTGTCTTGAGGACTCTTAACAAGATCTCCCTGTCATAAATCACAGGTTTCCAATAGGGACACTTGATTTGGTGACAGCTAAGGGGATGTTTCCCTCACTTTTGAGATTTTTTTCTCATTTCCTGTTGTGTAGACAGGACAGAATGTGAAGGCAGATCCTCCTGGTACAGGTGGCAAAAAGTCTGTGGTCTCTAAATTATAATTCTACCAGGTTTCATCTTGGTATTTTTGACTTGGCCTCCAGTGTTGTACATTATTTGGTCAATGGAAGCCTCAGTGAATTCTAATATTTGCATCTATACTATAGTAATACTTGTTCCACATCTCTTTTGAGATCACAATTATTGGCATTGTCTCTTTAGTATACACATTGATTTGGCCACTTACAAGTGGGTAAGTATGAATGTAATATCAACTTGTGTGTTGAGTTGTCAACATTTTTCCACAGGTACCAGTCCTTTAGATTCTAAGTTCCGATGAGCATGGCTTTCCTAAGCAACTTGTCTTGAATTGTATTGTAACGATACTTGTTCCCTTTATTTTGTAAAGCACTGTACAAACTGCTATTAAATAAATCTTGTATAATAATTTAAAATGGAGAGTGTGAAAGTCTGAATTTGATTGCTGACTGTCAAGCAACACAGGGCTTCTATTTGACCACTGGAGGATACCAGGAAACATTTTGAAAGTTTGAAGACTGCCCTGTGATGCCTGCTTTTTCCAATGACACTACAAACCTTACCATCTTCTTCTTCTTTTTTTTTTTTTATATAGGCAGAGTGAGGCGCTCCTGTGATATAGCTGTTGGAGGATTTATTCTTACCACTCTTGGTTCCTGGTAAGATTATTCCTTTAAATGTTTGAGAAACAGAAGAACTGATACTTATAGGGCATGATGTGCCGGTTTTTGAATCAATATACTACTGAACCATGAAAACATTGTATATGTAAAAGACCTCATATTAAAACCAATGATTGTGGCACAGTACTGATTTCAGTAAAGACAAATACGAGGGGTTTTTAAAGTTTCCCCACTTTTAAATCTATAATAAAAAAAAAAGTGCAAAAACTTTTTGAAGAACCCTTGTATAAATGGGCACAGGGTGGGATGGTGAATGTCACTTTAGATCAAATCTGATTACTGAGGGTTCTTGACTATATATAGATATAGATAGATAGATAGATAGATAGATAGATATCAGTGTTTGTGTGTTTCTTTATTTTTTTTTTTGTTTGTTTGTTTACAAACACATTCACCCCAAGCCTCTGATGGTCAATCATTGGAAGTCCTCTCAATTGGATCCCGTTTACCTAGTTTAACAATAAAACCAAGCAGATCTGAGACATCACTACTCTACCTTTGGTGTCAGATACAATGCTCTGCAATTATTTTTATCAGACAGGCATTACCAAGCCTTAGAAACCCACTGAAAGGTAATGGGTTTTTATGGCTGAACGTTCAGGAGCTAAAGAAAGTTCTGAATTAGGAGGAGGTAAACCTACACAAAGGAGTGGCTGTAGATGTAGTATACTTGGATTCTGCCAATGTGTTTGACACAGTTCCCCTCACGCAACTAATGTGTAAATGATAGTCTACAGGCTTAGAAAAATCCATTTGTAAACTGGCTAAAAGACCGTATTCAGAGAGTAGTGATTGATTCATACTCCGAATGGTCTAAGGGTATTAGTGGTGTACCCCAAAACTCAGTGTTGGGAAATTTTCTTTTTAACACATTTTAGAAATTATATAGAGTTTGGGAATAAAAGTACCAATTCAGTGTTTGCAGAAGACACCAAGCTGTGCATTGGAATTACGTCCTTACAGGATGTCTCCAACTTACAAGCCGACCTCAATGCACTGTTTAATTGGGAAACTAAGTGGCAGATGAGGTTTATTCAAATGTAAGTGCAGCACTAAAGCATAAGTGACTAATGCAATCATAAAGTGCTTATGTGAATAAAAGTGTTCATACAATATTCCAGTGAAATAAATCAAATAAACCTCTCAGATCATAGAATCATAAAAAAAACTCTAAAATTCTGAATATAAATAGTGGATAGTCCATGGCACTGCAGGTTACAGAAGTGCCAAGTGATATATATGTGCTCATTTAGCAATAATGGTGATTATACATAGTCTGTGGCACTACAGGTCACAGCAGTGCCCGGTGTTTGTGGAACTACAAGGTGCTGCAATACCGGCTGGGATGCTCAATAGTGCTCCTGATCCAACATAGGAATCCACCAACCTATATGGATGTGCACTCAACAGAACGCTACCTGTATAATAGCGTTAATGCTGATCCTTATGTGGGGGTCTCAGGAAGCCATAAATAGGGACCATGTTTCTAAACATCAAACCTCTTTGCAGTCCTGATAACCTCCACTAGTGTTTGGTAAGGATTTGCCAATTTCCAAGATGGCCGCTCCATCACTTCCGGTTCCGCCGTGTGCGTCTGACGTCACTTCCCTTGACACATTTTGTCCGGACTTAATCATAAGGGATCCATTATATAACTATATAACTTCATCTGAAAATTCTTGTCCAAAGTCATTCCATTTTTATTTTAAATTGATCAGTCCATAAATGTGTCAAACATTCAGTAAAACAGTTGCTCATAATAAAGTTGTTCTTTTCACAAAACACCAGCATGCTGGTACATAGATGAGTACACACCACTTTGAGACTAGAGAAGCTTGCAGTTGCTTGTGATGTTCAGGGGTTTTGTCGACCCACGTGCTTTGTCAATGCTGCTGTGTTGCCCTATCTGCATATGAGGAATTCCAGGTATAAATATTTTACACATACTTGCATTGGTCCAGCTTGGACAGTGGCAGGAATTCGTAATTTGCATTAAAAAGCTTTAGAAACAGTTCAACACTTTCAGAAAGTAAGGATTATTACTAAAAGGTCAAAAGGGTGCAATAAAAATATTTACAGGAAAAGATGTAGTGTGTGTGTGTGTGTGTGTGTGTGTGTGTGTGTATACACAGAGAGTAATAGCACAGCAAAGAGATAACAGAAGTTTAGGTAGATAAAGTACTTGCCAAAAAGTCTTGGGTTAAGCAGCTTCAAGTTTCAAGGGTGTCTCCCTGCAACAGAGAACCAATCACCTCATTTGGGGAGGGGGGTATGTAGGCAGGGACCTCAGGCTATGACCAAAACCTGCGCAAACTATATTATGGTTCATAACTTACCCTGGAGACAAACAACTCTCTATCCACGAGTAGATTAATACACAGCCGCATCTGTGGACCAGTTAGATATGAAACATCAGCCGTCCGAATATGTGCTCCATGTTTGAGTAATTACGTCCTATTTGAAGATTTCACTTATATGAAAAAGTGAGTTTTTAAAAGAAGTCTGTTTTTACGACCCCCCAGAATGTCCTTTGAACTCAGTGAAGGACTTGGTTTATGGCTTTACGAGCCTAGATTGCGAAGTTAACAGACAGGTAGGCCCCAATGGGATTTATAGCCAAAACGCCCTCCCATTGAGTGTGCTGCCTGTGATCTGCATCATCCAGACCACATGTCGCTCAACAGAGAGGGAGGGGAGATGAGGAAAGCTGATTTGTGAGTAGAAATGATATAAAATGGAAGATTCTTAACAAGATGGAAGACCGCGTCCATCTCGGCGTGCACGATTGCTACATCACCGAGGTCAGTTGCATCACTGACCATATATAAGGGTTTACAACCACTTTAAGCAAAAATCCATAAGTCTGTCAGCTTGTTTTGCTGCAGTCCTAAGAGTGGCTATACAATTCAGCTCCATTACTTCCAGTATTATTCTAAGGGCCTGAGTTGATGAAATTCGTTTAAAGACACTTTTGAGATCATTCAGAACTCATTGACAAGTGGGTTTTTAAACCCCCTAGAATTGTATTAGAATGCCAAACCTGTTTGATGCAAGCAAAAGCCTGTTGACATGGGACCTTAAAAATGTATTTTCAGTATTCATGCGATTGCACCTATTTTACTTAAACACGGTTTTCTCATTTTAGGGTGTACTGTAGATACAACCATGCAAAATTAAGGATACAGCAAAGAATGGTACAAGAAGGCATTAAAAATCAGGTCATGTTTGAAGGTAGCACTATGGATCCAAACCTCAGGAACAGACAAAGTGATTCCAACCAGTAATCGCAGCGGTGCACTTACAAGAAAAATGTAAACACGTAATAAGTACCATGCTGCCCTCAAGCAAGCTGTTATGGACTTACAAAAAAAAAAAAATTCTGTTACATTACAGGATTATTTGATGTGTTTATTGGATCTTGTGTTTGTAATATATATGTTCTTTTGAACGTTTCATAAGAAAAGCTGCTCTTTTCTCCTTTTATTCTTCTACCAAACCAACCAGACATATGCAGATGTTTGCTTAAGCATGCTTTAAAGTATATTTTTATTTTAAAACTATTTACAGTTAAAGTTTATAGAATGTTAATTAACTAGCAAAATGTTGCTCTGATAGCTAAATGGCTTATAATATAGTTTCTTTTCTGCCTCCTTTCCCTGATGCACAGGCATAGTATAACATAGACAGTATTCCTCTCCTCTGTTTGATGTCCGATAGTAAATGTGGACTCCTGGAGTGATTAAAGCAACAACTGGATTGACAGCCTAATATGGTATGGGAACAAAATAGAGCAAGGGTGGGAGAGGCTAATACAGGAGTGCACATATGTAGAGAAACAAGATTGTGACATAGAAAAACAATTTGCAGCTCTTCCACCATACTAGAGCTGTATACAAATATTTAGAAGCATGGGACACACAACATGCAAGATCGTGTTTGTGATAAGGAGCTAATGATAGAATCTAAGGTAGGCCATGGGTGATTTGAGTCTCTTTTCCCCCATGGGAGAAAGAAAAGAAAATTGCTTGATTTCCCCCATCAACACAGTGTTGATGAGGGAATGCCTGCCGTTTGTGTTCTGTTGGCAGGGGGCTCATGGGGAACCTTCCCAGCCAGCAGAATACAATGATTACTGCTAGCAGCTATAACCATGGTCGACTAACATACAGTCAGCCTGCCCATATATGGATTGAAATGTGACTGGTCCCTGCTGAACTGGCCGAATTTCAATCTATGTATGGTTGGCTTTAGGGTCGTCCACCAAGAGAGGTTGCGAGGAGAAAACATGTGGTCACAAGAATTGACATTATTAGGAGAAAAATAAACTACAGGGTAAGGAGACTTCAGTAACAGAATGGTGAAGTGTGACATGAATGTTAAAAAAAAAAAAGCCTGACAAGGCAGCACTATGGAAAAGAGGCTACAGCACAAGAGGAGAAGAATAATGGCATTTGTTGCTGCCACAGTGCCTGTAGACCAAGGGTGTCAAACTGGTGGCCCTCCAGCTGTTGCGAAACTACAAGTCCCATCATGCCTCTACCTTTGGGACTCATGCTTGTAACTTTCAATCTTGCAATGCCTCATGGGACTTGTAGTTTGGCAACAGCTGGAGGGCTGCCAGTTTGACACCCGTGCTCTAGACCTTCCAGCTTTTGATTATAGGTTACTCTACTAGTAAACCATTATTACTTTGTCATAGCTACCTGGTAGCCTATAAATGCATGGATTTAGGAAAAGGTTTACATATATTGTTCTGGTTCATGAAATGTTGGCCATCTGAAGAGGATGCGCCAATGAAGAGAGCAGCGATGTTTCCATATCTGCACCCTAAAATGCACTCTATATATATCTATATAGTTTTCCAGTGGAGGGAACTTTTCATTCCTGTTCTATGCATTAAATAACTATACAGTGCATTTGTGTTTTGGATGTGCTACACTTCATTCCCTTAGAAGATATTCTTTTTGGAAGCTGCCAATAAAAAGTTTGGAAAGCAGAATGTAAAGAAAAAATACAGGCACAAATGATCCAATAGACAGGTGCTTGGCACAGCTTAATGTGGGAGGCAGGGTCACATTCTCACTCATACTTGGAAGTAAAAACAATTCTGCAGATGATGGCATCAAACTGCTGCAGAGAAGCAAGTGAAAAGCAGGAATACTGCCAATACTTGCTCCAGCAAACCAAGCTAATTAACTTTTCAAAGTAAACTATATTGCCAAAAGTTTTGGGACACCCCTCAAAATCAGATTCTGGTGTTCCAATCACCTCCATGGCCACTTGTGTATAAAATCAAGCACCTAAGAATGCAGACTGCTCCTGCAAACATTTGTCAAAGAATGGGTTGCTCGCAGGAGCTCAGTGAATACAAGCGTGGTACCGTGATAGGTTGCCACCTGTGCAATAAGTCCATCCATGAAAATTCCTTGCTACTAAATATTCCATGGTCAACTGTTAGTGGTATTATAACAAAGTGGAAGCAACAGGCACTCAGCCACAAAGTGGTAGGCCACGTAAAATGACAGAGTGGGGTGAACACATGCTGAAGTGCACAGAAGTTGCCAACTGTCTGCAGAGTCAATAGCTAAAGACCTCCAAACTTCATGTGGCCTTCAGATTAGCACAACCACTTCAAGGAATGGTTTTCCATGGCCAAGCAGCTGCATCCAAGCCTTACATCACCCAGTGAACTGCAAAGCGTCGAATGCACTTGTGTAAAGCAGGCCACCACTGGACTCTTTGATGGACGTGTCTGCGTTTGGCAGTTGTCAGTAGAAGAGAACTTGCCTGACTGCATTGTGCCATGTGTAAAGGTTGGTGGAGGGGGGATTATGGTGTGGGGTTGTTTTTCAGGGGTTAGGCTTAGCCCCTTGGTTCCAGTGAAGGGAACTACAAGTCATTTTGGATAATTTAATGCTCCCAACTTTGTGGGAACAGTTGGGGGATGGCTGTGACGATCGCGGCATCAGACCCCAGCCCTTATCACCAAACTCGTGACCGAAGGACTAGCCAGTCTAAACCCGTGCTGTCACGTGCGTAACAATGCCACGCCCAGCTGCACCCTGCACAAAGATTTTCCAGCTAATGGACCACAATCTGTGTATCTGCAGCCTGAGAGCGATTGTTACTGGCTCAGGTTAATTACACAATTAACCCTTCACACTGCCACCACCTCCTTTTTGTACAGAGAAAGAGGAAACTCGGCAATATCAGCAATAACACTATGATGTTTGAATAATCATTTGTATACACAATATCACTGCAGACAGATGTATGCAGACGTTTAAAACACACAGTAGCGTTCTTCAGAGATGGGTGCTTTAGTTTGCATTAAAGAGCCATAGAAACAGTTCAACACTTTCAGAAAGTAAGATTTATTACTAAAAGGTCAAAAGGGTGCAATAAAAATATTTACAGAGAAAGATGTAGCCAATATATATATATATATATATATATATACAGAAAACAATAGCACAATAAAGAGATAACAGGAGTTTAGAGGGTTAAAGTACTTGCCAAATGTCCTGGTTTAAGCAGATCAGGTTTCATGAGCCAAAAGGATGCCTTATCTCTCAACCTTAGTTCTGATGTTAAAAAAGGGAGATTCTTCAACTTCTTACAACTCAGCTTAGCTTAGCCTTTTCTAGCAACTCCACAACTCCCTGGAGCAGTAAACCAATCGCCTCATTTGGGGAGGGAGTTGTAGGTGGAGACCCAAGCTATGACCAAAAACTGCACAAATTATATTATGGTTCATAACTTACCCTGGATACATACAACATCCTATCTCGAGTAGATTATTACGCAGAATCTTTGGCTGAATGGTTAGATATGAAATATCCGCTTGAATGGTTAAGGAGATGCAATTTTTGGCTCTCCTGTATATGCCAGCTAGGGAGTGTAATATGCCAGGAGAATGGTCTTAACTTGAGCCGTCCGAATATGGGCTCCATGTTTAGGTAATTATGTCCTATTTGAAGATATGAATTTATATAGAAAAGTGAGTTTTTAAATGTAAGTCTGTTTTTACGACCCCTTGGAATGTCTTTTGAACTCAGTGAAGGACTTTGTTTATGGCTTTACAAGCCCAGATTGTGGAAGTTAACAGACATCTAGGCCCCAGCTCAGTTGTGGGATTTATAGCCATGACGCCCTCCCATGGAGTTTGGTGCCTGTGATCTGCATCCAACAGACCACATGTCACTCAACAGAGAAGGAGGGGGAATGAGGAAAGCTGATTTGGGAGTAGAGATGATACAGCATGGAAGATTCTTAACAAGATGGATGACCGTGTCCATCTCTGTGTGCATGATTGCTACAATGGCCCCTCCCTGTTCCAACATGACTGCGCACCAGTGCACAAAGCAAGGTCCATAGAGACATGGATGAGCGAGTTTGGGATGGAGGAACTTGACTGGCCTGGGCAGAGTCCTGACCTCAACCCAATAGAACACCTTTGCGAATGAATTAGAGGAGAGATTTTGTTTGCAGGCTTAACAAGTTAACAATCATGCTCATGGAGGAGTCCTCCTTCAAGGACTAAGGCTCCATGTACACGAGCCTACCCTGACCACCGGCCGTGAAAAACCGCAAATCACAGTACCGCGGTTGCCGCGATTTGGGTTTTCCTGCGGTTGGCAGTCAAAATGTTCCTATCCTGAACGCGATTGTTCCGCGTTGAGAGGGATGTTTAACCTCACCTAAACGCGGCAGCTCCTAAAGCCTATTTGTACATGGATACATAGGCTTTTATGAAGTTGAGTTTAGGAGCTTTGGCAGAAAAATGCCAAAAGCTCCTAAACTCGAGTTTAGGAGCTGCTCATGTACATGAAGCCGAAGGATCCCTGGGTCAGAGCAGAGGATACACTAGTGTCTCCGTGAGATCAGAACTCTGATTTATGCTTTTCCTCTTATAAAGCTTCCACCTTGACTGCTCCACAATACAGTCACTCTGGTGTTGCTAGAATGGCCTTGTTGATCTTACTCCATGGAACCAATTTTGTCTGATCATAGACTCTTACCGTCTCAAGGACCCATCCCCAATCTTGCTTTGCAGTCACAGGCTTTAAGGACCCGAGTGTTTGAATGCCAAATCCTCAAAAATAGGGATCTGTCTCCTGCTGTCATCCCTTTGTTGACTCTCCCAGAGGGTCGCCTTTTTGTTGGCTCTTTGGCTTGGAGAGTTTGTAAGCTGGTGGCCTTGTCTTGCTAGCCTCTGCATCTGCTCTTTTTTGTTACCTAAACAAGGACATTGTCCTCTCATGTTTCTTGTAGGAGGTGGCTCTCTACTGCCAGTATGTGGTTTGGGCTTCTTGTGATTTTTTTTCCTTAAATGTTATGGCCTTCTTTTAGACTGATGCCCTCCTTCTGGTCACTGTTGGGTCACAGAAGGGCAGGGTGACCTCTGCAGCCAACATATCTTGCTGGGTTCACCAGACTTTAGGCATGTACCATCTTTATCTGGATTCTCCATTTTCAGTTACAAGCCTTTGTACTATAGCACAAATGCTAAGTGGGCTTTCAACATCAGGTATTGATTTCACAGATCTGCAAGCAGATGTCTAAAAGGCCAGGATGTACTAGGCTGCTGGGTGCCTCTCAGATCACCAAAATGTAGTGCAGTGCTAGTACTGGCATCATGCTGCATGAGTGTTTCTATCACATCAGCAACCTGGGGTTGGGTATGCTTGATCCTTGCATGGACCTCTTCTCCATCATCTGAGCCAACTGTCAGCGTCCTGCTGCATTCTGCAAGTGCATATTTTGAGCTGGATTCTGACAGTGAGGCTTCCCCTTGGGAAAAAGAGCTCCTGGCTATCAGGGACCACTTGCACGCTAGAAATAAAATGTACCTGCTTCTGCTAGCAGAGTTCAGGCCCGGTTGAACACTGCGGTTTTGTGTATAATGTGTCAAAGGTGGCAGTGATTAGAAATTATACTGACACTGCACTTGTTTGGGGCTAAATGCAATTGTTATCAGAGAGCGAGGCTGATCCGGCTAACATTGCATTTTATGGGGACACTAGTATAGTTCTGATCATAATCAAGATACTGATCCGTTCAGACATAACTAGTAATGATGGTTATAGTGCTGTAACTGTGATCGTGTTGCTGGCAATCAGGACTTAAATGTAGATGACGTTAGTGTGGTGGGCAATCTAAAGCTGGCTGTGAGGGACGCTGTCTCTTACCCTATATGAAGTTGTCTGTGACACTAATACATTATCAGTAAAAGTCGCACAGATGTCTGCCAAGTCGCAACTGAAATCACACTGACATGCAGCTTTGAAATTTTGTGACTTCAAGGTCAGACTCACTGTGAACCGAGAGTAAAGGGTTAGCTCACCTTTACCAAAAAAGCTCCCAATCTGATAGAACAGAGCCTTGAGGACAAGCTGGCCCTGCTCAGTTTAGTGTGTATTGCTGGTTTTTTTTTTTTTTTTTCTTGGCAGAGTGCATGTGATCAGCACAGAGTCAAGCAGCACTGTCCAGACAGAAGGTCAGGGGTCCTGCAGCCTCATAGGACAATAAGGGGAGAATGAAAACTCCTCCTACAAGCTTTAACCAATGTTCTGCTGGACACTGAGCGAAGTCACTGCACTAACTGCTGATGAGATAAGGTATTTAGCAGTTTATATTTACTAAAATAATTGCATTTCCATGTGAAATACAGGGTCCTGGGTTTAGTAACACTTTAAATTTTGGTCAAAGCTGCAGTTTGTTTTTATCCACAGGCACCCCTTACCTACATAGGCAGCTTTTTGGTAAAGGTGAGCTAACCCTTTAATACTGAAGTTAATGAACAAAGTGATGCACTCTCTTAACCTCCCTGGCGGTATGATTATTTCAGATTTTTGGTGCTGAAAGCGGTACCATTATTTTGCATGGAAATATGTAGTTTTTTTTTATTGTAGGCTGTAATTTTTAGGAATAACTCACTGAAATCTGTCCAAACAAGAGTCTAGTAAACATTCCGAATATGATAAAACTTGAAATCATAAATTATAATTTAATAAATGATCATAAAAAATAATAATATAATAATAAATTTAATTCAATAATATAATCAAACCAAAAACACTGAATTTTGAAATATAGCGCCAAGTTCGCACATCGCTGATCAGAATCGTTTTCAGTGTCTGATGACGAATTTCCCCACAAATCATCACTCAATTCTGCAAGTGGTTCTGATTTACTATCGCTATTCTCTAGCTGGTCTAAAACCGATTTTGACCTAAGGGGATGCTTTTTGGACGCCAGGACGTTTCTCAGTTTCCAGGCAGAAAGAACACGTCAACATGCAGGCAGGGCACAGGACAAAGCAGTAGGGACAAAATGTATGTGAAATGCTTTGAAACAGCAATGTTTTGCTATGTAATAATCGTTTTTAAAAAAATGTAATTTTTTCAAGCTTTCAAATTTGCCGCCGATTCTGGCGCCTGTACGTCCCGACGTCACAGGGACCGGAACACGGAAGCCAGATGGAGATGGCCGGGGACACTGCAGGGGACACATCGCGGGAGCGAAGGACAAGGTAAGCGCTGCAGGGAATCCCTGAGCAACGCCGCATGGTAAGCCCGAGTGTAGCTCAAGGTTACCACTTTTGGTACTGAAACTTTACCCCGAGCTACACTCGGGAATACCGCCAGGGAGGTTAATTGAGCAGTAAGCATAAAGGCAACAGGTTGCAGAGTCTTACTCCCTCTTCACATGGCCACCGCCATTACAAATCAAACAGGAATAGGACATGGAATGCAAACCTCTTCTGTCCGTCCCCCTCCCTCCCATATAGTGTACATTAGGTGACTATG